TCCTTCCTTCCTTCCTTCCTTCCTTCCTTCCTTCCTTCCTTCCTTCCTTCCCTTCTCTTTTCTTTCACTCTTCATTCTCCTTTCTCCTTCCTTCCCCTTTCCTTTTTCCTTCCTCGCTCTCTTCCCATCTTCCCTTCCTTTTCTTCTTTTCCCTTCCCTCTTCATTCTCCGTTCTTCTTCCTTCCCCTCTTTCCTGATTTTTCCTTCCTTGCTCTCTTCCCACCTTCCCTTCTTTCTCTTTGTCTTTCCTCTTTTCCTCTCTCCTTTCCTGTCCCTTCTTGCATGCTCAAATGCAAAAGGGGAAACATTTCTCCTTTTGTTTTGTTTTAAAGTTTGTTTTGATAGCCCTCTGCCAGCAAAAACGGAGCTCGGGAGGTGCCACATGCAGCCCCCTCCTCCCGGGCCCCATTTTCGCTGGCAGTGGGTTGCAAGAGGCCGTTGCAGCCGAAACTTGAGTTCTGTTTTTACTGGCAGAGACACCGTGGGCTGGTCCTTTGCTGTTTCCAGGCCAGTCCCGTGGACCAGATCTAAGCACCCTGTGGGCAAGATCCGGCCCCTTTGCTTTGAGTTGACACCCCTGATGTGGTCCAACTCCTTCATTACACCTTAGGTAAAGGAAAAGGTTCCCTTCGCACATAATACTTGCTAGTCGTTTCCGGCTCTAGGGTGCGATGCTCATCTCCGTTACAAAGCCGAAGACGTCTCCATGGTCATGTGGCCGGCAGGACTAAACGCCGAAAGCGCACGGAACGCTGTTACCTTCCCACCAAAGTGGTCCCTATTTTTCTACGTGCTTTTGAACTGCTAGGTTGGTAGAAGCTGGGACCAGGAACGGGAGCTCACTCCGTTACACGGCGCTAGGGATTCGAACCGCTGAACTGCCGACCTTCCTGATCGGCAAGCTCAGCGTCTTAGCCACTGAGCCACCGCGTCCCTTATTCTGATAAACGAATACAATTTTCAAACCCGAGTTTAGTGAAGAGACTTAGGAAAATGGTGCCTGTTATTGCAGGAGACATGGTCATTAGATAACGGCTTGTATCCCTTGAAGCATCTGCAATAATGAAGGGATTTAACATTTAACACACATAACCAACCCATCTTGATGTTTTCAAAACCTGGTTGCCTGAATTCAACAGCTTTATTTCCAAACCAGACATTTTACAGGAAACTGGAAGGGAGATGCCATTAAAGGCAAGACAGAAGAAAATGTTAGCCCCTTTTGATTTTAAATTATTTCTCAAATAACGGCAAGAACCTCTGCAAAAGTCAAAGATTCACTTCTTTGGCAAAGAGCTGAAAAACCTTTAAAGGCTGCATATCCCAAAGCTTAGAAGTGGGTGGGGATTGAAGCAGGAAGTTCTGAATGGATGTGGCATTCCTTAAATGCTTTTGGAATTGCAAAAGGGAGCAGAGATTGGGAGCTGGTGAGGAAAAGTGAAGGAGAGAGGAGAATAAGAAGGTTCAAAAATTCAGAATAGCTAGCTGGACAGCCATACTTTAAAAGCATTTTGGTTATCAGTAATTGTGTTTCCATGGTAGAGGTAATCCAGTACTCTGACTGGCCCATCCTTAAGTGCCTTCATTTGGTTTTTCACATCAAATGGCATTAGTTCAACAAATTAGAACAGAATAGAATTCTTTATTGTCCAAGTGTGATTGGACACACAAGGAATTTGTCTTGGTGCAAATGCTCTCAGTGTACATAAAAGAAAAGATACATTCATCAAGAGTCAAGAATCATAAGTTACAACACATAGTAATAGTCATAGGGTACAATAAGCAATCAAATCATACTAGGAAACAGTCAATATAAACCATAAGGATACAAGCAACAAAGTTACAGTCATACAGCCACAAGTGGGAGGGGATGGGTGATAAGGAATGATGAGAAGGTTAATAATAATAGTAGTGCAGACTTTGTAAATAGTTGGACAGTGTTGAGGGAATTATTTGTTTAGCAGAGAGATGGCGTTCGGGAGAAAACTGTTCTTGTGTCTAGTTGTTCTGGTGTGCAATGCTCTATTATATCGTTTTGAGGGTAGGAGTTGAAATAGTTTATGTCCGGGATATGAGGGGTCTGTAGATATTTTCACAGCCATCTTTATTGAGATATAAGAATCAGGAACTTTAAACTGGCTCCCCTGTAAGAGGCCAGAATCAAAACTATGGCTTGTTTTAAGCTTCTTTGTGGTTTATTTGGAAACTTACAAAGGTGCTTTATGGTTTAACTTTAGACGTTTCTGGTATTAGGGGCAGCCATGCAACTTGTGGACATTAACAGAATAAAAGAGTTGGAAGGCACTTTGGAAGTCTTCTAGTCCAACCCCCTGTTCAAGCAGGAGGCCCTATACCATCTATATCAGGGGTGGGCAAACTACGGCCCGTGGGCCACATCCGGCCCGTTGGTCTTTTTAACCCGGCCCGCCGAAGATTGGTACAGAATTAAGGTTTGATGTGAATGATTGAATGATTGCATTCATTTGATTTTGACTTGTAATGACAGGCATTTCGACACCAGGTGGCGGCCCGTCTGTCAAATTTTAAAAGTCAATGAGGCCCCCGAGCCAAAAAGTTTGCCCACCCCTGATCTATATAGTATATACCATTAAGGCAGAATTCCTCATAATGTTGTCTTACACTAGCTTAAAAACTAAGTCAATATGAGCCGATGTCACTTGAAGGCTACAATTACCTAAACAGAGTAATAGTGAGTATAAGTAGATAGCAGGATTCAGTGATTCCTCTAAAACAAGCAGATTAATTCACCAAATCAGATTTTCTAATCCAACCACCAAATTAATTCCATCCAGCACCGAAGAAGCTTCTTGGATGAGAAACAAAAGCGCTTCCAAGAAAAAACAAGACAGTCCAGTTGCCTCTTGAAAAAAAAGCACCTTTGGGCATTCCTAATTTTAAATAAATAAACAAACGAACCAACCAACCAACCAATAAATAAATAAAATTAATTAAGAATTCCTCTCTTTGGCAAAGACGGTAAGTCGATAGCATTCTGAAAAGATGCTCAAAGCAACAGAGGACACCTTGTGCAACCTTCCCCCTTTGCATTCTTGCACGCCCACCCTCTAACATCTGCTTGTGACACTCACACAGGCGTGCACACCCACCCTCGTAGGCACACACACACACACACATCCATTGATTTTGCAGCCCGGGCAACTTTGCTCCTGCCAGGCACTGGTGCATTGACGGCAAATCCGCCCCTTGTCCATCCTGGGGAAAGGCGAGAAAGCCGGGGCGAGCATCCCCTTACCTTGCCCTTGTCCCGAGCCGTCGCTCCGTCTGCAGCTGGGCCCAGAAATGCGGAAGGAGGCGAAGAATTCGCTCTCCCAACCCCGCTTCTATCCCACCTCCCCCGCGGGCTCTTCTAGCGTTCTCCTCTCTATGATCCCAGCCGGGCTTTGAAATGAATGAAACCTATTCGGGGAGAAAAGGTCATAGAAAAGCGAGGCCTAGAGCGGCGTTCTGGCTGTGGTCCTTTTCCCTTAACGAAGCCACCGGGGACATCTTTACTCTGGGAAGGCGATGCCTTTGCTCGCTTTTGCAAATCAGGAGGATGTCATTTGGATGAATCGAGAAGGGGCATTGGCAGAGTTTGGTGTCCTCTCAGATTTAAGGACCTCTTAAGTGCAATGCCACTTAATTTTCCTCTTAATTTTGCCAATGCAATGTTTGCATAAGAATGCAGTTGCTGGATTTAGCCCTTTTCTGGGTTCACGTAAAACATCGCCCTGTAAAATTCACCAAAAAAGGGAAAGTTGCCAGAATAACTGGCATTCGAAGTGTTGTGTGAATAGAGCCTTTTTGAGGCTGATACCCAAGCTTAAGCTTCCTAACTAGATGCCCTTTCAAATTATGGGACCTTCTGACAAGCAAAGTCAATGGGGAATCCAGATTCACTTAACAACCGGGTTATTAATTTAACCCAGCAGTGGTTCACTTCGTCAACTATGGCAGGGAAAGTTGTAAAATGGGGCAAACCCTCACTTAGCAACTATCTTGCCTAGCAACGGAAGTTTTGGGCTCCGTTGTGGCCATGCCCCGAGAACCAACGGTAAAGATTCCCCCACCATCACGAATCCCATATGGAGCAACCTAATTAGAATAAAACCTAGTTTTCTCGCAGAGAGGAGCACCTCGGCTCACTTTCATACCCAAGCCCTGAGCAAGAGAGCCTCTCTAAGGATGGAAATCCTTCAGGTTTTCTCAAGTTCATCTTTTCCCTTGGGAAATTACACAAGCTGGAGAAAGAGAGGAAGAAAACAAAACAAAAAAAAAAAATAGGCTGGACCGGCATGGCTGCATGCAGATAAGTTCTAATCTAATTTTTTGCAAAAGTGTCTGCGTAGACTATTGTCTTTTGATCTCTGTCCCCAGATTCTTGGTACAATAGTGTTTAGATAAGTGGTGCTGAAGGTCATGGGATGTTTACAGTATTCTGAAAATTAATATGCTACTTATAGACGTTTTTAAACTGCTTCTCTGAACTAGCAACACGAGCTGAATTTTCGTCGGTGGGAAGTCCGTTGAGTTAAATTCTATCTCCACCCAGATAGATGGCAATTGGCCAGCAGCTAAGTCTACACCTTAGCATCCCTTATTTTACTTACTTACTTATTTATATTTATAACCTTCCTTTGTTAGTTTTACAAGTAACTTAAGGTGGCAAACATGTACAACACAATGTCCTCTTCCTATAGTTTCCCCACAACAACCCTGTGACGTTGTTGGGCTGAAAAAGAATGACTGGTGCAAAGTCACCCAGCCAACTTTTATGCCTAAGACGGAACTAGAATTCACAATCACCTAATGATTGGTCTAAAGTCACCCAGCCGAGAGGCTGCCCCAAAGAAGAGGGGGGTCAACTTATTTTCCAAAGCACCAGAGGGCTGAACAAGAAGTAATGGATGGAAACTAATCAAGGAGAGAAGCAACCTCGAATTAAGGAGAAACTTCCTGCTTCTCTTTCATAATGAATCAGAGCCTTTAAAAGGATTCTTCACATGTTTTAGGTTGCGTAGTGCTTTTTCAACGTTGTCTACTGTAAAATCGATATGTATTAGATCATTATTGTTATCTGTGGTACGGCTAGGAAACATTGGGCATGATCCATTACTGTTTACAAACACTGAGCCGAAGAATGTGTTAAAGATGTTGGCTTTAATGGTGTCGTCGCTGCAGTCTTTACCATCAGTTCCTATCAAGTTTGCTAGGGGGATTGAACCTTTTGCACAATATTTCACAAGTTATGAATTTAGGAAACAACATGGTAAAAGGAAGTATTTTTTATAACCGATGTCTATTTTTAGTGGAACAACATTGAGCAATTGAGGACTTTGTGGTGTCATGCTCCTTTCTCAACTAGTGGTCACATCTAGGTGGACATAATAATAAGAAATAAATAAGATCAATAAATAAGACATCTGGGCTTTCTTACCTATAGAATTATATTTTAATCTGATCTATAACTTCGAGTATTGACTGATTCTGCTGATGGTTTATAGTTTTGTCAATTATTTGTATCATGTTAATCAAATATATTCAGTTTTATATTCAAGCTGAATAGGGATGAGAAGTTGGTTTGAGAAAGGCTACAATATACAGGTAGTCCTTAACTTACAACCATTCATTTAATGATGGTTACAATGGCACTGAACAAAGTGGTGTATAACCAGTCCTTACATTTGCAAGCATCACAGTAGCATCCCCATGGTCACATAATTAAAATTCAAGGACTTGGCAATCAGCATGCATTTAAAATGGTTATAGTATCCCAAGGTCATGTGATCATCATTTGCAACCTTCTCTATCGTAATAGAAATAGCACTTTATAGTGCTTTTACAGCCCTCTCTAAGCGGTTTTACAGAGTCAGCCTCTTGCCCCCAACAATCTGGGTCCTCATTTTATCTACCTTGGAAGGATGGAAGGCTGAGTCAACCTTGAGCCTGGTGAGATTCGAACTGCAAAATTGCAGGCAGCTGGCTGTCAGCAGAAGTAGCCTGCAGTACTGCACTCTGACCACTGCACCACTGTGGCTCATTTGGGTTGGGCTAGGGGGGTCAATTTATTTTCCAAAGCACCAGAAAGCAGGACAAGAAGCAATGGATGGAAGCTAATCAAGCAGAGAAACAACCTGGAATTCAGGAGGAACTTCCTAACAGTGAGAACAATTAACCAGTGGAAGGACTTGCCTTCAGAAATTGTGGGTGCTTCCATCCCTGGAGTTTTTAAAGAAGAGACTGGACAGCCATTTGTCTGAAATGGTATAGGGTCTTCTGCTTGAGCTGGACTAGAAGACCTCCAAGGTCCCTTCCTATTCCTATTCCTATTCCTATTCCTATTCCTATTCCTATTCTACTCTACCCTACTCTACTCTACTCTACTCTACTCTACCCTACCCTACCCTACTCTACTCTACTCTACCCTACCCTACTCTACTCTACTCTACTCTACTCTACTCTACTCTACTCTACTCTAGGACTACCTATATTGTATAAAATCATCCGTTCTTCCTGACATATATGACTGTCCATGCTAGATAGCAGTTGCTTGTGACCATCGTTGCTTAATAACCACACTTAACAATTTCTCATTTTCTCACATTTAATATTTAAGGGTGAGTTATTTGAGACTTCTTTCTACAAAACACATTTTCTACCTTTTTTTTTCAATTAGTAGAAAATGCAACATTTCCCTTAAGCGGCGTTTCAAATCCTGCTGGCCATCTGGACATCTGAAAACAGTATTATCTTTCTGCAATATTTTTGCAGTCAGCTTCTCAGTATATGCCTGTGCATGATGGGTTTCTTTTTCCCCTACCCAGCTGGCGTTTTTGGTCTCAATAAAGTCCTTCTGTCTTTTTGGGGCTAGCTGTGTTCTTCAGTGGGATACACGAACGGAAGAATAATAAGAGGAGATGCCCATATTTGCAGATGTTTCAAACCGAGAAAAACTTGGAGGTGGAACTTCCGATGGCCAAATCAACCTTATGATCCTGTTTCTACACAGTGGCTTATCATTGCTCACATGTACCCATTGGCGCGCACTGCATCACTTCCCTCTGTGCACAAATGATGAAGTTTTGTGGTTGGATTGAACATCCTTCTGGAGCGTTTCCTTTTTAGGCATGACCAGCTCCGCACATTACATGAACTGGCAGGAGAAATCAAGGAGGCCCATGCTTTGAATTGCACATCAAAAGATATGACGATCAGGTTTGGCTTCCTTAGATCGTGCCTTCTGGGACACAGTTCAGGTTGTCATCCAAACTGATTCACTCATCAAGTCTTGGGTTGCATTGTGTTGTTGTTTTTTTTAAATTAAGTTCCTCTCAACTGCAGGTAGTCCTCGACTTACAACTGTTCGTCACAGTTCAAAGTTACAATGGCACTTGACCAAAAACAAAGTGACTTGGGACCGTTTTTTCACATTTATGACCATTGATTGCAGCATCCCCGTGGTCGTGGGATCGAAATTCAGATGCTGGACTGGGTTTCAAAAACTAGGCCCATTTAATTGCTTGTTTGATTTTGAAGCTATCAAGGCAATTATTGCAAAAGGGAAGTGTTTGATTCCAAACGGAAGCCTTTGATAACAAAAGGCATTGGCTGCAAAGGCAAAATGTTGGCTACAAAACGGTTCGATGCCAAGCACAAGAGTACTGGATACAAAACAAAAATATTGGATGCAAAATAAATAACATGCATCAACGTAGAGTCCCGCTGTTGATCTGTTTAGCCTTAAAATTCAGGGTTAAATTGTGCTGATTTAAAGGATGGTCCTTTCCTTGGCTTGCAGGCCATCCTCGACTTACAACAGTCCATTTAGTGACCATTCAAAGTTATAATGGCACTGGGAAAAAATGGGACTTAGGACCATTTTTCACACTTATGACCATTGCAGCATCCCCATGGTCATGCGATCAAAATTCAGATGCTTGGGAACTGGCTCGTATTTATGACGGTTGCATGCGACCTTCTGATAACCAAAATCAATGAGGAAGCCCAGATTCACTTAACAACCGGGTTACTAACGTATCAACGGCAGGGATTCATTTAACAACGGAGGCCAGAAAGGTAGTACAATGGGACACTTAACAATGTCTCACTTAACAACAGAAATTTTGAGTTCAATTGTAGTTGTAAGGCGAGGACTACCTGGACATCCCTGTAGTTTTCTTGGCAACTGTACTGAAGTGGTTTGTCACTGCCTTCTTGCGGTGCAAGTAGTCCTTGACTTACAACCGCAACTGAGCCTAATATTTCCATTGGTAAGTGAGACAGTTGTTAAGCTGAGTTTTGCCCCATTTTACGACCATTC